ACTAAAATTTTAAATACTAGATATTTTTCCAGATTTTGCATTTTGCATTCGCTTAATTCAACCCTTGTTGTTACATTAAAATTACATAAATATATTTACAAACACATTGCAATTTGTAATTTTGCTATCCTCTTATAAAAAGGAAAGGAAAATCATTTTTTTTATTGTAGACTTCAAACTGTTTTTTTTTTTTTTGCTTTGCCTTATCTAATTTTTGTTGCTGAATGTAACTCTAAAGAAACAATAAAAACAGTACACAAATTATTAATTTGTCTTTATTTTTTTCTATTTCAAACTCTTTTTATTATGTTAGTTATGTTTTTTTGTTTTTGAAACTTTTTCAGCATTATTATTTTGCAAACGGCCGTGTTCACATTTTCTAAAAAAGTGTAATCGCGTGTGGTCATACGAGAAAAAAAACCGCATGCCTTTCCTGGGAAGGCTTGATATACACCCTTTAAACTTGTTCAAATTCATTTTATATATATGTATATGTATGTATCTATATATATATCTATATATATATATATATATATATATATATATATATATATATATATATATATCTATATATATATATATATATATATATATATATATATATATATATATATATATATATATATATATATATATATATATATATATATATATATATATATATATATATATATATGTATATATATATATGTATATATATATATATATATATATATATATATACATTTTTTTTAAATAGGAAAATTTAAAGAGTCATAATACAGAAAGTTGGTGGTCATCATCTTGGTTTCCATCTCTTTACTCGTCCATATCAACAAAAATTGTTGAAAATTTGCAGCTTGAAATTACAGATGTGCATATTCAATACAGAGACTGTATTAATAATGAGAAATTTATGTTTGGTCTCACAATAAGTAGTCTTACTGCTCAATCAACAAATAATGAATGGGTAAGTGAGGTAACAAATAATGAATGGGTAAGTGAGGTAACAAATAATGAATGGGTAAGTGATTGCTGAAAAGATTAGATAAAATTGTGCTGAAAAGTTACTATAAAAATGCATGTTTATACATTGATCCATAAAAACTTTACCAAAAGGTTTTTTCCATTTTCTTTTTAACTTGGATGTTTATAATAAAACTTGTTGCTTGGTATAAATTGTCCCCTTACTACAAGATAGTTAGCACAGTCTTGATATTATGTTTAATTTTAAATAACAATGTCTAATTTTTCATTCATGACAGGACAACTTGTCATTAGGCAAAAATTGTCAAGACATTGCTCATTTTGTTCATGGCACATTTACATAGCACATTTTGATCATGGCACATTTACCTAATAGTCAGATCTTTTTGGCCATAACTGTATGTTTAATATTGTCATTTTTATTTTTTATTTTAACGAGCATTTTGTTTTATGTTGGAATGGGTGATGCGTAAGTTATCAGACAAAATAAAAACGTCAGTATCTTATTTATAAATAAAAACAAACAAACTATTAATATATTATTAAGGTGTTTGTGATTCCTTACCTAAAGATGAGCATGTAAAATAAAAAATAAAAACATCACATTTGACACAGTAGGTATTACCTGAAAGACAACAAAATATATTTTTGAATATTGAACCATGTACAGTCTAGGTATAAATATCTGACTAAATCATGATCTAGGTATAAATACCTTACTAAATCATCAATAAGCTAGCTATAAATTACTAAATCATCAATAATCTAGGTATTTGTAAAGAGAAAAACTATCCATAATCTAGGTATTTGTAAAGAGAAAAAGGTAAAGAGAAATTTCCCCCAAAAATATATGTGGATAGCCATATCTGACTGGTTTTAATCTGGCACCACGGTCATATATGGGTTATAAAGCTAACATTTTCTGGACATGTATTTTTTATTATTTGTGTAATATCCAGAATTTCAAGTTATGTAAAACAAAATAAATTTTTTTAATAACTATTTGTTCCCTGCAAATCCATTATCACTTTGAGTTTTTTTTAATCTGAGTCAGTTACTATATTCTCTTGTACATACATTGAAAGTACAAATAACCCCAATAATTTATATATCAAGCTTTTTCTCTTTATATTGAAGAATCCCCTCAACTCATGCAATGTTTTCTACTTATGCAATGTTTTTATTTTATTTTTAAACTTACTAAGAAAAATAATTGTCTTATTTAATCTTATATTTAATAAAAATAATATACTTTTTAAAAAAAAAAAAAGTAACTTTAATGAAAAAATGATAAATACCTTTAATAAAAAAAGTAACAAATGTATTCCTTTAATAACATTGGTGAAATTTTCTCCAATTGCTACAATAATTTTTTTCCAGTCTATATTTTGTTATCCATTAGATTAGTTAATTAGAAATATATTTTGAAAGAGATAAGTGGTCACCAAATTCAGAAATAACAGAACAATGGCTTTCTATTTTCATTGTTTAGTCTTTTATTTTCTATTTTTGGTTTTATTAAATATTCATTGTTTGCTTAGGTTATATTCATTGATTGGTCAGGTTATATATTCATTGTTATGGCTATGGTTGTATTAGGAATACATCCTTTAATAAAACCTGCATCTTTAGCTGCTTTTAAAAGTTCCGTTCTAATGGATGGAGTTTTCTCAATTTAAATTATTTTGTTTGTATCTGTGTTATTATTGCTCTCTACCATTATGTCTTTTAATTAGTAGATATGTCTAATAATTTAAAATATCTCTTGAGGTTGGCAGGTCTGACTAAAACTTTGTTCCAGGACCAATAATAATGGTTTTGTTCCAGGACCAATAATAATGGTTTTTGTACTATGAAACAGCCCACAGAACAATTAATAAATTTAATTTTTAAATTAAAAAAAAATAGTATTATCAAATGGCAAGTTGGTCTAGACTGTTCTTAGAAGAGATAATGTCAAAATGTAAAGTCAGAAATATAAAAATAACTTCAGAAATATAAAAATAAGGTTAGAAGTAAAAAAAAAGCAAAAACATTTTTAGAAAAAAACTACAGTTGAATATTAAATTATAAATAAAACTAAAATGAGTCATTGAATCTTTATTTTGAATTCTTGAAAATATGATGCATTCACTCAGTCAATATATTTGTTACACTCAACACATCCTCAATTTTTTTTTAATTATAAATTATATTTATATATAAGTCTGTATTTATTGTTGCTACGACAATTAACAAAATATTTTTTTCTCTTACTAATCAATTATATCTTTACAAATTAAATATATATCTGCAAATTTATAGATAATCTAAATATTTCATAATTTACTTTTTTTAAATTTCACATCCTTGACTATATTGGCTACTTGAGACAACTAGTTAAGGAGGAAAAAAAATAAATTAAAAAAAATTGAAAAATTAAATAAAAATTTATTAATTTTATTTAATTTTTAAAAATGAAAAATTAAAGTTATTTAATTTTTCATTTTTTCTTAATTGTTATTATAACTTTTTTTAACCTTTTAGCTTTGAAAAATGAATTTTTTCAATGAAAATATTGAAAAACAAGGCTGCTCCACAAAAAAACAAGCTCATATTATATATCCAAATAATAATAATAATAATAATAATAATAATAATAATAATAATAATAATAATAATAATAATAATAATAATAATAATAATAATAATAATAATAATAATAATAATAATGATAATAATAATAATAATAATAATAATAATAATAGTAATAATAATAATAGTAATAATAGCAATGATAATAATAATAATAATTATAATATCCATCCAAAAAATGTTATATATTTTAATATATGCTATTGTTTAGATGAAATTGCAAAGTGAGGCAAGTTCTATTATAAAATACAAGTTAGTTGCGCTTACTGACCTTGCTATCTATTTTAATGACAGTCACTCTGATGTAACTAAGGTAATACATGCATTAGTATAAAATTGTTATGTTTAAATCTGTGATGGTTGGTAAATAATAATATGCTAAAAAGGATAGTTTTAATGTTTTTTTATGTTTTATTTATTTTTGACAAGTTTTTCATGACAGATTTTTCTATGTTTTGTTTTTATTTTGTTATAAAATGTCATTAAGAATGATAGTGTATGAAATAGATTAAATTCCTAAAAATTGTTTTTCTGTTTATAGAAGCAGAAGATTTATTTTTTTGTATTCATTTTGAAATAACTATTTTGATATGAAATGACTTTATTTTCAAATTTGCATAAACCTAATTTTCCATTTAACTCAACAGAACTAAATGATAAAATGATAAATTTTTTATAAAGCAAAATTACTGTCATGAAGGCTTTGAGTTAACAAAATCACTGCCATAAAGGCTTAAAGTTAACATAATCACTGCCAGAATGGCTAAGTGTTAACAAAATCACTGCCATAAAAGGTGTGACCAATCATTTAACTTGGAAGTTAACAGAAATCTAAGCGTGTTAAAGAGCAAGAAAAGACAGAAGGTTTAAAAAACCGTAAATTTTATGCATGAAAAAGCATGAAAACAAGAAAGAATTTTAAAGTATTGGTATTTGAGGAAAAAAACAACAAAATTAATAAAAGGTTTAAATAATTTTGGTGAATAAGAGATTTACTATTATTTATAGTGTTGGGGAATGGAATCAGGAGAAAATGGCAACCACAATAAAAAGAGGTTACCTAAGCAAATGCAAAATTTGCAATAATTTGGTGAAAGATAGTACAAGATAATGTAAAGTGTAACTATGTTTCTGTTCATCAGTTAAAAATATTAGTAGTGCATGTTCTAAGAGCTGCCTGTTCAAAGCAATTGAAAAGTTATGACATTTTTTAGTCAAAACTGGAATATATATTAGTGTCATCAGCAAATTGAGCCATCTTAAAAAAAAACAATGGACCAGGGATGGAACCTTTTAGTTCTCCAAAAAATACTGAAAATGATTTTGAGTATTCTCAATCAAAGGCGACTTAAATATTGTGGCTAGAAATTACTCCTTATGAAGAAAAAACTTATAGAGATGACCAACATGCCAGACTATATTGAATAAATGTTAGAACCTTTCTATTATTATGGTTAACAAGTCAGGAGCAGAATAAAAGGATCCAAACCTGTTGTCAATACTTTTTTGCATTCATTTCTTGTGATGATAAAAAGATGTTTGTTCTCAAAAGAGTTATTTTAAGAAAAAAATAATTATCAGTAGCAGCTCCATAAATAGAAGAAAACCATGGGGTATAATTAAACAAGACATAAATCTAGCAAGAAGGAATAGAGACTTCCAGGTTGATTCCAGGAGATTATAAAGCAGAATAAATCAGCATTAGTAGATAAAAGTGCATCGATGATGTGAATCTGAAGTAAAAGTTTTAGTAAGATCATAACATCGTCTGAACCATCTAAAGGATAACAAGGAGAAATTATGTGTGATGAGCATTCTAATCACCAATAATAATATTTTTAAGGCTGATAATATTTATAATAGTACAGTAATATTTATAAGATTGCAGTCTAGTGAAGAAAGAGAATGATATAGATAAAGGAGATAGTTGGTTGAGTAAATAATAGTTAGAGGATTTATATCCAGCGAAGCTTGTTTGAATAATTAATCTTAAAAGAGCAAGTAGATAAATTTTGAAAGAAGTAAGGTTGAAAAGAGGAAAAATTTTAAGACCTTAAGTATTAGTAAATAATAGATAGAAATAATTTGGTGGTTTTTATATATTTTTTTTACTATAGTCATAAGTCATATATAGATAAAACCTGAAGATAAAACTTAGGTAGTACTTGTCACCCTAGCAATAGTAAAAGATAGATTGAAACAATTAAAGGGGTCAATATGCTGTTTTTAAAGCACACCAAAAACATCAACAGGGTTATTGAGTTAGCTAATTCTCTGCTTACCCCTATAAACATTGCCAAGGAGGTGTTAGAGACAATGGCCTAATTAATTCCTATTTATTTTATCAAAATTTATTTATGTGTAGTTTCGATTTTATTTGAAACAACTTTTTATGTTTTCAATTTGTATTCAAAACTTTAAGTTCAAAATGTTATTTTTTTATATTAATAATTATAAAAGAGTTCATCATATTTACAAACTAACTACAAGCCTCTTTGTAAACCTACATTGGATTATTTGTAAAAAATTTTTCAGTTATTTCATAAATAAGCTCAAATGATAATTAATAAATATTAAAACTTACACTTCATTTTGACACAGAGCTGTTAATCGATATGTGATCATAAGTGGTTATAATTATATATTATTGATTCAGTTAATTATAATTAAATTTTAATAATTTTTCTCATAGTGTCCAAACTACATATTATCACCTGTGTCAGCAGAGGCTAGAATTAAGCGAAACTCATCCAAAGTTCATTTGTCATCAAAAGATGGTCCCCGATTTAATATTAAGTTTATGTTGGAGGATCTTGTTTTTACTCTTTTAGAGAAACAATATCGTCTATGCTTTGATGTTATTGAAGAAATAAGTAGATATTTTTGTGCTTACAGCAGAGCAGCAGAAAGACCAAAGTGTCAAATCAAAGAAAAGTAAGAGTTTTATATTTTAATTAGTAAGAGTTTTATATTTTATTTAAATACCGCTAGATTTTTAAAAACATTTTTAATTTTTTTGTAACTGTTGCGGGTTATTTAAGCGGTTGTGGTGTATTGGTAGAGTACTTGCTTTGTAAGCGAGAAATTCCGAGTTCGTAAGTTTTGTAAGAGAAAAGTTTCCACAATGTCCCTGGTAGTACACCGCTCAGTTTGTTTCTCTGCCTTTTTTTGTCAAGGTTTGCGTTTTGGAGTTATTGAGTTGAGAGAGGATTGTAATCGCAGTTACTAGAAAACAAAGAGTAGAGTTAGAGAGAAAGAAAACTTAAAGACTTAAAAGGTTGTAGGTTGTATGTATCAGCAAAACACATACAACCTACAACCTGTGTGTGTATGTATGCATATCTATATACCTTATATATACATACATACATATATATATATATATATATATATATATATATATATATATATATATATATATATATATATATATATATATATGTAAGATATAAGATTTAAATATAATTTACTCTGTTATAAGAGTTAATTATATTTAAATAATTTCAACTTATACTATTTCTTCTTTTTGTATAAAATATAAATACAAATGACTAACTAATTTTTAAAATTAAACACAATATCTGAAACATTATCCAATAATAGAACAAATATCTAATATCTGGAGGTAGAATTCATTAAGATAATTCCTTATTAATTTTTTTTTCTATTGAAAATTATGTTTTTAAGTTTACTATAAAGGCTACTAGTGCACTGATCATAACATAATAGAATGTTAAATACTTTTTTAGTCATGTGAAGAATAAAAATTTATTTTTTTAAGATGGTAGATTTAAAACAGTTTAGCACATAAAGAACATGTGTTAAGAAACATGTGTTACTTCAGAAGTTTAGTTTTAATTTGACTTAGTGTTTTTCTGATAATTTAAGATAAGTAATATTGATCATTTTTATAACTAAACTTTATATATATATAAATATATATTTTTATAACTAAACTTTATTAAAATTAAATGTTAAAAAAAAGTGTCACTCAGATTAACCAGATAAAACTAGTGGCAATACCCGGAAATACTTAGGTATAGAAGGTTTTTACCCAAAACTTGATTTTTTAAATCAAAATTTGAAATATTAAAGTTTTACTTTTGTTCACATTACTTTTATATAACTATCAACAAAAATAGAGTTTATATGGCCAACTGGACATTAAAAGTTCAACTGGACATTAAAATCTATCTATAGTATAAAGTCAATTTTTATTTATATTATAGTTGGACATTAAAACTGGACATTAAAATCTAGCACAAACACAGTTATAACTGTATATTTACTTATTAGATGTTTTTCTTTTTAGGTGTATGTATGTATTTATGTATGTATGTATGTATGTATGTATGTATGTATGTATGTATGTATGTATGTATGTATGTATGTATGTATGTATGTATGTATGTATGTATGTATGTATGTATGTATGTATGTATGTATGTATGTATGTATGTATGTATGTATGTATGAATACATCAGAGGTAGAGATAATAAAGAGATATATAAAAAGATTTTACCTTTTTTTTCAAATAGTGGATTAGCTTGGTGGTGTTATGCTATTAATTCATCTCTGGTTCCAATTAAAGAAAAATATAAAAGAAGAACAAAAGTCTTTATAACAAATAGAATTAAAGATATAAATGCTTACTCCAAACTCTATGCACAGAACTTGATGAATAATCCTTTAACATCAAAAGAAAAGGTGATGTTTGTTTAACCATTATAATAAAATTATTATTACCAACTTAAATCTGAAAATGAATACAAAATTTACATGAATTGTAGCAAATTATTAAAATCAAATAAGTTGTAATTTATATCACTTTTTATCTTGGTAAAATTAAACATAATATAATTAAAGACTATTGGTAGTTATTAAAATTAGTAGAAGCAGAAATAAAATTTATTGAATACAGTAACAGTTTTAAATTTGCACAATAAGTTCATGAAATCAAAATAATTTGTTGTCTGTAGTTTTTGTACTCAGTAATTTTGTACTCATTTATCTCTCATTTTTCCCCAGTTTCCTCAGTTTCCCAGTTTTATGCATGTTAAAGAGTAATAAAAATAACCATAAACCCTTTGCTAAAAAATTTTAAATAACTTATTGTATTGCAGGCTTTTGAAAAATTTAGCTTGAATGAATTTTTGAAAAGTATATATGTAAATAGCTTTATGCAAGCAACTTAAATTAATATTATATAATGAATTATTATAATATAAATATAGCACCACAAATATTTTAAAATAATATTTTTCATTATACCTCAAAAGCTTAATGAACTCTTTTTAAAAAAAGATAAATTATTACACTTTTAAATTGGATATATGCTCTCAAAATCAAACTTTTTCAAAACTTTTTAACAGTACCACTGAAAACATACAATTGCTTTTCTGTAATTTTATATTTAATAAAAATTATTTTATTGCTAACATAATTTGTTGTTATTTTGATATATTTTTTCATTATGCTTCATTTTGTTTGATATTACAGAAAATTCTGACATTTCCAGGTTATAAAAAATGTGGTAACTACACTATGTCATTTTATTCAACTTTTCAGTAGGACAGTTTAAGTATAATTGAATATGTTTTGTACTACAGAATTAAATTTATTTCACCAAGCTAGACACAGATCAGCAATACACATAGATCAAATTAGACAGCAAGACACATAGATCAAATTATTAATACATAGTGTAGTATATAGTGTGACCACTATCAAGAGTGTTATAGTGTGACCACTATAAAGAGTATTGAAGAGCTGAGTAAAGTAATTTTTATATTTTCACAAGTATAAAATTTTATGTTTAGGATGAGCTTGAAATTATTGAAAAGCGAATATCCCTTGAAGAACTAACATTACTGCGAAAATATATATTTTTCAAAGTCGAAAAAAATGTCCAAGCTAAAAAGGTTGTTTTTTTTTAACTGTCCAAAAAGATTGTATTTTTAGTTCTTATAATTGATAAAAAATCAAATATATAAACATTTTTAAATGTATTTTATATTAAAATATTATTTATATTTTAAATGTAGTTTCTGTTTTATATTTTTTAATTATATTAAATATTAAAGTAGTCTATTTAAAACTAGAGTTCAACTAAATTAGTTGTAAATAAGAATGAAACCTCTTCTTGGAGCACTTGGGCAATGAGCTTCAATCCTTATTGGGCTAGTTCTCAGGAAAAAGTTGATACTCCTGATCTTGCACCTATTACACAGGGTTAGAAGCTTTTATTATTCAGCACACAAAATTATATTATTCTTTTATTATTATAGCTTTTATTATTCAGCACACAAAATTATTAATTTATGCAAATATATTAATTTATGCATTATATATTAATAACACTATTAATTCTGAATTTAACAAATATTTTTTTTTTTTACAATATAGAAGAAAAATTATTTCTTGAAGAGCTGCAAGAAACTTACAACGAAGAAGAATCATTGTTAAAAAGAGATTCGTTTTTTGCTCAGATAGATTTTACACTTAGTAGTGGTTCAATTATACTGAAAAATGATTCAAGTGGAATAAGTTAGTATGAATATTTACTGTTATTGACCTTGCTTTATTATTTTAATTTAAGGTGGTAAGTTTAAGTACAGGTAATATGTAAGTTATTAAGTTTAAGTACAGGTAATATGTAAATTACTCTTATGCAACATCATAAGGTATATTGATACATTACACCGTATTTCTGAATATTGCACGTTTTAAAATTTGATTTAAACGCAGACAAGGAAGATAAAAAAACTATACGATAAGGTAGAGAATTTAAATATTTAGTTACTTTTTCTTAGAAATAAAATCTCTGTACATGGAATAAATTTTTGAGAAACTTGTTGAATAGTGAGTAGAAGCGAATATAAAAATTCTAGAAGGTTCTATATTATATTTTAGGTTATCATCATCATCATCATCATCATCATCATCATCATCATCATCATCATCATCATCATCATCATCATCATCATCATCATCATCATCATCATCATTAACATCATCACAAGGTTAAACATAAAAAGCATAGTAATATTAAGATAATAAGCACAATCGTTATTATATACAACATCTTTTACAGATAACTTATTTGTTATATTTGCAGACCAGATATCTATCTGACATATCTTTTGTTATTTCAGACATTATTTCAGACAGGTGCACATAATTCTAGAATCAGTTAAAAACAAAATTTATAACCTCATCTAAAGTTAAGAAATTGTTGTTTGATAAAAGGCTTTAAGAGTTAGTAAGGGTTTGCATTTGCTTTGCCTGAATTAAAATACAGTGATTGAAAACATTCTTATAAGAAGACGCAATTATGCTAATAATATCTTGGATTGAATTGACAGATTCAACGGTGCTTATGTATAAGAGATGAACACTAAGGATAACAACATTTGCTTTGAAATTTTTATGTATATAGTTTTATCTTTATAACTTTATTTTTGTTTAGACAATAAAGAGATATTGAATGTCAAATTTGATCAACTCACATTTTCATCTGAACTTCGTCCAAAGCAGCATTCATGGGATTGGTCGGCAGCTTTAAGGTCGTTTCAAGTAAATAATACTAATGAAAGTGTATTTCCAGCACTTATATGGCCTAAAGTAATATATTTATTTTCTAGTTACTTTTTATTACTAAATATTATCCTGTAACCTACTATATAATTCTTTTGACATATTTTAAACCTATCTTTTAGGGTGCGTCACTTAAAACAAAAGTGAGCAAAGAGACTTCTAGTATCAATATTATAGTACCAATATACACTAAATAAAAATTCAGAAAAAAATAAATATCTGTATATCTGAACGTAAAGTTTCTGAATTAAAAAAATTTATATCTCAGTAAACTTCAGTCCAATTTTAATGTTGTTTGTTTATACCACATGAAAAAACTGGGGAAATGATTGGCATCAAAAAACCAAGATTAAACTAGTGCTGACGAGTTGGGAGCCCGGAGTGGCTGTCACCAGACTTTTTTTTATTTTTTAGAAATTTCAAGTAATTTTAAGAAATAATAAAAATATTAGAGGGAAAAAAAATTTCTCTACCTACCAGGGAACTTTATTTTTAAGATGTCAGATCGTAAAATTGACATCTTAAAAATAAATAAATTTTAGTCTGAAGTTTATGTCTAAACAGATATGAAAAAGAAAAAAAGCAAATGATTGCAAAAAAAGCAAAAAAAAATAACAAATAATTAACTAATTGCTATAGTATAAGTAGGATTAAATAATAATATATTATAACTATAATAATAATATAAAATAATAATAATAATAAATTAATATAGTAGGATTAAAATAATCATACTCTGCAAAGATTTGAAATAAATAGAAATAAATAAATAAATTAAAAAAAAAAATGACATTAATATTAACTATTTGTTTAGCAAAGTGACATATTCATGTTGAAACATATATTTACAGTATAAATAATCAAATTCAAATATCTTTTAAAAAAATGTTTGTTAAATCTTTTTTAGAGTGCAGCTTAGGCATTAATAGTCTCTGAGTCATCCTTGAGAAATCCATCTCTTTTCTCAAATCCACAAATAGATGCTGATGCATCTGTCATCTCTTTTACTGCTCTTTCACAAGACTGTGTGTGTAGGGGAAAGTAAGGTCCTTCAAAAGGTATCTCTAAGAAATTATCAAGATCTTTTGTAGGTATTTGAAAAGTAAACACAGGTTCTGATTTATCTTCTTTCTCCCAGTGGATCAGTTCTTGTATGGATGTAGCTCCCAGATTGAGTTTGACTTTCTTCCTTGGCCTGAATTGAGTGTTTCCATACTCCGAACCTTTCCATATCTTTTTGATGGTTTTAATGGCCACACTTTTTAAGATTTGCGTCCATCTTGCCTGTAGCCAAATATATAATCAGTTTATAGCAGAGAGCTGAATCTGTTGACATTTTAGACAACGGTCTAGTGAAACCAACATTTGAATTGGTGGGTTCATCCAAAGTGACAATAATATGCCTCAAAAAAAGCTCATTGCAATATAGCATGCAAATAGACTAAAAACACTTTCTACCTAACACTTGTTCAAGATTTGTCAACAAACCTCCATCTTTCCCTGAACCAGTTACAGCGTTTGTTGAATCTCCTCCTAGAGATTTATGTACTCCCCGAGGAACCATCTGGTTAAGTAGTCCAATTGCAGCTTGTTTAGCTGGCTTATTGGAAGGTATTGCCTTCATGGGTGTAAAATGTGTAATATAGTGACCGTCAGGTTCAGAAGTAACACTAATGTGTTCTTCTTTCACAACCCTTTGATGAAATTGTTTTATTACTGGGTTGTGCTTTAAAACATCATCTTTTTCCTTTGAAGTTTCTTATATTTCTTTTTTACTAATTTTTTTTCTAGACTTGACTTTCTTTTCAGCTTCCTCTTTTCTAAAGAAACCTGCCTAGCTGTTTCCTTAGTACAAGTTACAAGTCATTTGATATTTTGATAGTGACCCAGTTTTTTCTCTTTCAGCTTTTAACCAAATAACTTTTTGGAATCCTATGTTCCCTCGAACAGGTACACTAAATATGTGCAAAATCTAGACAAGAATTTAATTTTGAGCAATTTTCATTACATAAAGTGATTTTACATTTATAAGATGTAATGTCAAGCAATTGATCTAATTTGATTTTGCAAGTAGAAACAATTTTCTATGCTGCTTTTCCTCTAGAAATATTGCTAAACTTATTCCAGGCTAATTCTATTTTTTGTACCATATATATCTTGTTTATTACCACAGGAAACTTAAAAAGAGCATTCGATCTTATCCACTGTTGAAGAACCAAATCTGCTAATTGTACACTAAGTTCTTTTACAGAAATCAGCCTCCTTAAAAATGAAACAAAGTGAATACAAGTAAATATAAACAATATTTCTGCAATCTTTAAATTTAAGCTTTCATTACATGCTTGTCAATATCTTTTTCAATGAGGAAACATTCTTGTATTAAAAGACCCTTTCTCAGGATATCTCTAATAGTATGCACTTCTGCAGGATTAAGATGTAGGTGTAATTACTTCCACCCAAATACAGTGAAAACTTTGACTCTTTTTTATCCCAATTGAATCTAGTAATTTTAGGAGCTCTCATTCTTCCTTTTAATATTAAATAAATACTAGCAATTAACAAAACTGGAAATCAACCAAATCGGAAGTAAAGTACTTTTGTACTGCGTATTCATGTATGAGGTACATAAATGCATCGTATGGAAGTAATTCATTTCCAGTTTTATTTATTTCTAGTATGAATAAATGAAAACATGTTTAAATACAAAAATATTTTAGAATGCGATGTATTGTATTCTTTCCAGAGTACATTCAGAAGAGTACATTAGTACAGAAGTGTGCATTATGTACATTGTGCACTAAGTACACTTTTGTACTAATGTAATAAACGTAGACAATGTACACTTCTGTACAATGCAATAAATGTAGAAATAACTATTTAAAAATAACCTACAACTTTTCAAAACTTTACATTTCTAAATATACAGGGCCGACGACACAGTTCTCAAAGTTAGGAGAGCTGTGGGGAGCACAATCATCAACTACTAAAAAAAGGTCCTCCATATCTAAAAACTTCAAAACCTTTGTTAAAAAAAAATCCTTTACAGAAAAAGTGGGGGAGGAGGGCAGTGACCCCCTGGCCCTCTACTATTATCAGCCCTGGTATAATCTCAATTTTTTAACGCCAATCATGTTACCGTTTTTTTATTATTTGTTAGACACAAATAACATCAAAATTTAACTTAAGTCACTGAGATATGAATTTTTTAAATTTGCGAATTTTTACAATCTGACGTCTTCTAAAAAAAACCAGTTCCCCAGTAGGTAAAAAAAATTAAAACTTTTTTGAATTTTTATTTATTATATATATTGGCTCTATAATATTGATGCTAGAAGTTTCTTTGTTTCTTTGTGTTTTTAAAGTGACGTACCCTACTATCTATATATATAAATTTAGATCATCACTGTTTTTTTTTAATTTTATCTACTTGAGGTTTTAAAATGCTGACTTAAATCTAAACATTTTTTTAATTTCCATTATTTTTGCTGTAGTAAAAGTCCTTCAAATCTAAAAACTAACTGCCTGTACCAAAATCAATAGTTGATGTATGTACTAAAGCCCTCAAATATAACTCTCTCTATATATAATATATATATATATATATATATATATATATATATATATATATATATATATATATATATATATATATATATATATATATATATATATATATATATATATATATATATATATATATAGAGAGAGAGAGAGAGAGAGAGAGAGAGAGACAGACAGACAGACAGACAGACAGAGAGAATGAGAGAGAGATGGATAAATAGACAGATAGATTCAGAGTGTAAGGGAAATCCAGCCAGATTTTAATTTTTTTTTTAGTTACTTTCTCTACTATTTTGTAACAGACTGGCTGCTTTTTTACAAGGATGTATTTTATAACAAAAATTTCTTTTTCACACCTATACTTTTATATGAAAAAAAAGGGTCATTTGAGCTAAACCAGAGGTTTCTAAATTGATCAAGTGGCAAACACACTGTATCATAAATTGACCCACAAGTTTTATTTATCCAATAAAAAAAGAAAACAAATACCATCATTTTAACATTTATTTCAAAATTTAAAATTGAATCTTTTTAAAATCCTGAGGAGCATTTTTAAGCAGTTGGCGGAAGAATATTCTTCCTGCTAGAAAAAATTTTATATTTTTTTCCAATACTGACTGTAGCAAATCCTAATAAATAAAGATGTGCATCAAATGCTATCCTTAGGTGTGCATCCAATGCTATGTTGTTGATCTCTTGATTATTTGGCGGCAAAAAATAAATTATATGACAATTTCTATAAAGCTAAATATTTTAATATTTATTTAAAAAACTTTATTTAATTATTTAATTAGTATTTTTTTTTAAGATCTTTGTCTTGACTTAACAAACAAGACTTGACAAACTTGACTTGATAAACATGACTTGACAAACTTGACTTGACAAACATGACTATCGACTAATTGATTATTGTGAATGTAAATTTTTTTAACTACATTTTTAAAGTGACTTTTTTAGATTTCAAAAAAAGTGAATTATTCAGATGATCTTCAGTCATCATGTTTTTTGGTCATTAAATTTGGACAAAAGAAGATGCATCTCTCCTCATCATACAGGTATTTAATTTATTAGTTGATCATTATAAATATTATAACCATCTCATTTATATCTATCTGCTTTATTATCTATTATTTTTTTATTTGTTTTGTTTCTACTTTATAAAAGTAATTATCTGTAAAAGCCAAAAATATATCTATTTTTAGACTGTCAGTTGTTGCCCAACCTCTTAATATTGTATATTCAGCAGATATAATTTCTGAATTAAAAGAATTTTTTGTTGTACATGAAAAATCCAAGTATAAACTAAGTACCACAAATATGACATCTCGTCTTCGCAATGCAGTTAGTTCTCGAATAGAAGAAATTAAATCTGCTACTAAGTCAGAATTCGTTAATGTTGTAGGAGATTTTACGAAAGGATATACTCAAGTATGCTAATTTATTTATTTATTAAAAGTTATTTTTAATTTTTGAGTTTGAAAATTTTTTAAAACTAAAACAATAAAGTTAAGTAGCATTCTAAATATTTAAATGTTTAAATATAAAAATGTAAATTACAAGATTTTAAATCTTAAAATTTACTATTTTCAATGTTGCATTATAGACAGTAAACAAACAAAAAGGGTTACAAGGAAACTGAAGATTTTACTTATTTCTTGATATTGAGAAAATAAACCCGTTTTGTTATTTTTATAATATATAATAATAATTGGTAGTAAAAGTGAATACAAATATAATTAAAAAGTAAATATGCATTGCTAAGATATTTCCTCTCTATTTGTATAATAAAGAGGGAATATTTTACCATTTAATTAGATAAAATTTTCATTAATGGCAAGAAGGTAAGATTGTTTTACAAGATTTTGCAAATACATAATTGCCTAATATGCAAAAATAATGATTGTGTTGGTATTGTAGTTTTAAAAATTAAATTTTTTCTGAAAATAAAATAAAATTTAAGTTTTTAAATTTTCATTTATGTTACTGTGTCATCCTAATGCTTAAAAGATTTATTTTTGTTTTGTTTTATATTAAGAATTCTAACAGCCCTCTAGTTTACAAATCATTTATTATAAAAGTTATATTTTTCGAATATATATTTTAAATTTAATATTTTAAATTTGTATTTAAGATTCTTTACTTATTTCAAATAGTTATACTATTTATACTATTTGTATACATTCAATGTTGTTTATCTAAATCTAAATAAAACTTGCAATTCTCATATCTCAAAGTCTGAAATTCCTTATTATCCTAATTTTAAATTTTGAAACCGTAAAAAAACAATTGCAATCATTAACGATAAGCTTAATAATAGTTAACAACAAAAACTCAATAGTGTTACTAATTAACAATAGTAAAAAAAAAAATATTTTCAGACATCTTGATTTTATCATTAATCTGTGATGTGTTTTTTTGGATGGTAACAATTTTTAGGCAAAAAGAGAAAAACAAGATGAACAAGAAGATGAAGCTTTTATTCAAAAAATGGAATGTATAGATAAGTTTGATTACTTAGGAGGTTAGGAGATTATATCAGAAAATGAAGAAAATCAATTGCAGTAGCTTATAGCTGTGATAAGCCACTGTCAACATTAAAGGTTTATATTGACTTTTAACATTAAGATTGGCATTATTAGTGGTTAAAAAAAAGTAGTTGAAGAGGGTAAAAATTAAATTATTGAGGAGAAAGAGGTGGAGGCAAAAAACATAAAAAAGTGTGTAACATAAAGTTTGAGGAGGTTGGTATTAATAAAAGAAGATGCATAAGAGTGTTGGCATGATTAGAAACCAACCTTAGCTATACAAGCATGGAGAAATAAACTAGTGTGTGCAAAATGGCATTCAAAATGTGTTTTATATATACCTGCAGTTGCATAATGGATATAAGCATATTTTAATTCATGCAGTGAAAGAAAAACATAAAAAGAAGAAGAAATTTGAAAGATCTTATTCAGTACTAAACATTTGTAATACAAAATTATCAAATTTGGTTCAATAGTGGTCTAGAGGACCTGAAGGACTAACTATTTAAATGTAAATTTATTCTCAAATGGAATGTTACTTGTCATAATACCTCAGTCTTATCATGATGCCTCAGCCTTGAGCCCCAAATATTAAAACAAGTGTAACTAGGCAAGATAAAAATTAATAAGGTAAGCTAAGCATGAGCGCATATTCCCTTGATTGACCATGAAAGTAAATCGATTAGAAAATACCTAAAACTCTGGTTTGGATTGTACAATGGTTTTAATTGGTTAGTCATTGCATTTGTGCCACTAATTTGTTTTTACAATCTATTTCAAATAGAACTTTGAAGTTTACGTAATAAGATAAAAACGATGTTATTTTTTTATATGTTAAATTTGTTTTGTCTTCGTAAAATATGTTTAAAAAATATATTAGTTGATATTTGTCTTATTAATTAATAATTGTGGCTAAAGATTACTAATCTAAGGTTTTTTATTTATTAATTTGATTAGTATGTATTAATATGTTTTATTGTAATACAAAGTTGATGTGTTTTATCAATTAGTTTTGTAAACTAAAGGTTTATCAGTATGTACATTAAACAATATTCTTTTATTCTTTAAATAATGCATTTTATGTAAGATTTTTTTTTTTAATCTACTCAAGGATATCCAACTCTACTCACTTTTCACAGCTTGATTTTAAGTAATGGAGTAAAATTTTGTTATAAAGTTATGTGATAAAAATGTGATCAGACAAAAAAATAACACTCAGTGAAAAGTTAAAAAAAATGAAAATTTTACACTTGGTAAACCATGCGAGCAAAAAAAAAAATATTTCTAGAGAGGATTTCTATAGTACCATTTTTTATTAGTGCATAATGCAAATAACACCTAGAAAAGCTGAATTAGAAAGAATTGATGTGTTGTTGTCAAGATACTAAAACTATTTTCTTCCATAAAGAAAAAAATATTGGATTGGAGTTAAAACCACCATTATTGATTTGTTGAGATTTGGCAAAAGATATTGTTTATAAACTTTCATATTCATGGTTTGTTAAAAATTTTCTAAAATATTCTTTGGTTTTCAGATGAAATTTTTTATCAATATCAATTTTTCTAAAAAATATTAAGCAAATAGTTTTCGATCATTGATCAATAAAGTTTTATCTTGATTTTTGATTGCATGAAAACAGTCAATTGAACAGTCAATTGAACAGTCAATTGAACAGTCAGTTGAACAGTCAATTGAACAGTCAATTGAACAGTCAATTGAACAGTTAGTTGAACAGTCAATTGAACAGTCAATTGAACAGTCAATTAAACAGTCAATTGAACAGTCAATTGAACAGTCAAAATGAGACAAGATAATGAAGTTCTAGAGATTCAGTTGCTTAATGGCAGATTAAGTAAAAAATAGAGTAATTATAGTAAAAATTTGTTGTACTTGAAACAGAAAAGAAACAATGTATTGCTATAACAACTTATTTGATTTAAACCCATTAAAAGCACTACTTTTTCTTCTCTGTATTTCACACTTGTTTTATACAAGATATAATTCATAATTGTTTTATATAAAATCCAGTATACAATAAAAAGAAAAAAAAAATTTGATTTTATTCTTATATTATTCATGCAAAAGTAGCATGAAGCAAACAGAATTGTTTTCTAAATTTCAAGAGATTACTTCTTATTTACAGAATTATTTACAGATTTATTACTTCTTATTTTAACAGATTTTAATCTACTCATTGAGTTATAGTTATAGATCAAGTATAAAAAAGTCAATAAAGATTGTTACAATATTTTGGTTGTAAAAAAAAAATCTACCATCAATTTAAGCTCTAAAATACCTGAAAATAGTTTGAATAGTTATAGTTTTTATAAGCTAAAAAGATAATGTTGAAATTGTTGAATTCAAAGAATTTTGGATAAAACTGTTTGCATTTATCAATGGAAATATGCATAAATATATTTTCTACAACGCTTAATAAATTGAAGTTACATAATTTAAAAACAAAGCATAAAAATTGAATGGTTTTATGAACTAAAATATTACAGGTTGGAAATATATGGGATATCGATCTTGACATTGCAGCCCCTCAGATTATATTACCTCTTCAAAATAGCGGAAGATTGTTACATGATGCTGATCTTCAAAACCAAATGGTAAGAAATATTATTAATGTATAAATGTAACATTTTACAAATGTAAGTTTTATAAATATCAAGCTTTCTCAGAAGACGTGGACACACCTTTCCAGTATATAGTTTGTTCATTTTTAATTTTGGTTTAAGCTTACATTTGTTTACTCAGCGCATGTTTTAGATGTGCTTATTTTAAAACATACAAGGAGCCGTGACCAAGTTGTCTAAACAAAATATTACATGTGTAGTCATATAAGGCATGCAACCGCACGCGTCTCCTAAGAAGGCTTGAAATATATATATATATATATATATATATATATATATATATATATATATATATATATGTATATATAATATGTAAGTTGATTTTAATAAAAAGGCAGTGTAAAACTATTTTTAAATATATTTTGATGTAAAAATATATTAACGATATTTCGCTGACCTATTGTGGTCAACGTCATCAGGTAATAATAGATTACGATTTGTTTTATGTTATTATGTAATGTTTTGTTATTACCTGATGACGCTGACCACAATAGGTCAGCGAAATATGGTTAATATATTTTTACATCAAAAAATTTTTAAAAATAGTTATACGCTACCTTTTTATTAAAATCAACTACATATTATATATACATATCGTATAACAAGAAATTTTTTTTAAAGAATATATATATATATATATATATATATATATATATATATATATATATATATATATATATATATATATATATATATATATATATATATATATATATGTATATATGTATATATGTATATATATCAGCCCTTGGAATTAGGGTCAGCATTCGGCAATGCCGACCCAATTGCTGAAGTGTTTGTGGTCGGCAAAAAATTGCAGACCTTATTTCTATGTTTTATGGTAATCTCTTTGTGTCAAATTTTTTTTGCCAACCTAATGCTGACCTCTAACAGTTTGAGGTTGGCAATTTAATGCTGACCTTATTTTTTCTAACGCTGAGGGTTGATGGTTATATATATATATATATATATATATATATATATATATATATATATATATATATATATATATATATATATATATATATATATATATATATATATATATATATATATATATATATATACACACACACACACATATATATATACACACATATACATATGTACATACATACATGTATGCATACATACATATTTACATCAATTGAAAAATTTGCTTTAGGCAGGTATTATTTAGATATAAAGGATAAAAAAACTTTTTTTCATTCTCCTTTTTTTTTACTTTGTCTGGAAAACTGTCTTGAATAAAGCCTGCGTTTAAAAAATTAATGTCTACAAAGTTTGTTTGGACAGGTATAAAATATTTTTGCAATTGTTTTTGTCTTCCTTTCATATTATCTTCCTGAACCCAAAACTCAATTGATGTATGTACTTAAGCCCTTCCCTAGAGCGATTTAGTTGTGCAACTTTATTTACTGTGCCAATTCTATATATCTACTATACTATGCTATACTATACACAGGTTTTGGTTAATCTTGGTAAAATTACATTTTGCAATGAACACGCACACAAAGAAAAGAAATCACATATAGAAGATGGTAAGAGCTATATTAATGGGTACCTGGCTGATTACACAGGCTAACATTAAAAAAAAATGGTTTTGAAAGCTTTTTAAAGTAATTTATCTAAATTTTATGTATTTTTAGCTATTAAAACCATTTTTTTTTCTGTTGCGCACAATTCTCTTACAAAATAACATTAATTGTAATAAAAATACCAAAATAGATGAAAAAAGTGAAAAAATCATTTTTATTAAGTTTTATTTTTATATGATTTTATATATATAAAAAATTCATAGTAGGCTTTTAGTGAATGATTAAAAGCACTGAGTCTAATAATGAAATTACCTATTTAACATTTTTAACAATAGACACCAACGTGAAGGTTAGCCAAATGTCTATCAACTCAAAAGATTAGAAAAAAACATCACAACAACAATAGTACATACCATAAGTTAATATAATATGCATAACTTAAGAAACATAACATTCATATATAACAGAACATAAGTAACAACATTACACAATATGTTAATAAAATACATTATTATGTATTTGCAGAATAATTTATAAAAAAGGCTTGAAAACACATAGATCTAAAGCAGTAATTGTTTTACACTAAACACTGCCGTATAAGTACTTCTGTACTCTACCCTCTGCTGTAAGTACTTGACTTTGCTGGCATTGACAAATCTTACTCTACACGTTTACCATGACAAAGCACTTTATAAACATGGAAACAACATAATATAAACATATGTACCAACTATAAACACAATATATATATTTAACCTTATATAAACATATTTAAACACATTTATAAAAAAATTATATTACACATATTAACATGTACAAAAACAATAAAAAAACATGTTACATTATTATAAAAACACATCGATAAAACAGCTATAAAGCACATACTACCATATACACATAGTTATCAAAAAAGCAATGCAAACAATAAACATATATAACTTGAATTGTGCAAAAAAAAATTTTAAAACTAACATAAGAAAATTTAAAAAAATTTAAAGTAAACAAAATATAAATATATATATATACAAACAATAATCTTTACCTTTTTTTTTTTTTCCATAAGGGCTGTTATCCTCATAACAAAAATTTAATCTCTACATACAGTAACATGTGACATGTAAGTGTTGGCACAAAAATTTAATTTATTTTTCTAAATTTTCTAAAAAAGAACAAAAACAGTTAATAGCATCACAGAAATTTCAAGGTAGTAATAACTAATTTTATTGAAATAGCATTAGTATAACTTTTTTGTTGCATAAAAAATGCATAAAAAATAATTAGTTTAAAAAAAAATCCATACCTCTATATTCCTTCTAAAAAATAGAAGATATGCTCAATAAAAACAAAACTGCTAGAAAAAATAAAGCCAAAAGAAAAACTAAAGCAAACAAAATGTAAACAATCTAAAAAATTAAAAGGAGTGATCCTTTCTACTTTATTTCTACTTTATTTTTAATAAAAATATTATATATAAATTGCTAAACTATTTTCTATACTTACTTCAATTATAATATGATCTTAACATGATTCTTTATGTAATATTTCTAAACTAATAAATATTAATTCAATTCCAAAGGTAAAAAGTTTTAACTTGCTTGATAGATCTTCCTCTAATAACCGCGTGCATTTTGAGAACATGCTCTTTCAAGTTCAGAAAAGCCTAGTAACTAATTAAAACTGCTTTAAAAACGAAAGCGTATTAATATTAAGATTATTTTAGAAATATATTTGTTTGAATATTTCAGAATGTTTTATTATTTTAAATATTTTTAGAATATTTACGTTTTTTTGTAAGTTTTTTTAATATACAATGCCATATATTTTTCTCCATGAAGTGACTAACCCATCACGTTTGTATTCCATGATGTTGTTTCTCCATTTCTTTTATGTATTGATAAAACCATTTTCTTCGGTCTTAATTTAGATGCCAAATTTTTTTTAAAAAAAAACTAAAGATCTTTGTCCATGAAGTGGGCTTCATTGCGCAACAGAAAACCACGAGTTTAAAACATATATATATTGGTTACTATAAGTTTATAAGTTAGGCACCTTCACAATGTTCACAACAATCCAAACACACAGAAATTTTTCAGTTTAGAAATCTCTTCTTTCATTTCAGCTTCTTATAAAAGAAGTTTATTTTTTAAAGTTTTTACATGTTGTTTCATGAAGCCCAACTTTATGTACCGAGCACAGTGGGCCAAACAGTGGACATTGCGCAAAAATCAATGTTATCGAAACAAATTTAAATTAGTTGTTATTTATAGCCAAATAAATTTCCACTTCATAAAAAAAAAAATAATTCAAAAGCATTATTTATTCACAAAATATACTAGTTTGAATAACTTAAATTTGTTGCAAAAGATAGACAATAGGTACAAATGATACATAAAAGTCATTTTTGGCATTCTATAAGAAAAAATGTCTCTATATAAGCAGTGCTAATGTGATAATTGAATGTAAAAACAACCTTAGACTGCAATTTATGGATATGTGAATGTTAACTTTATAGGTTATTGCACAAATCTTTTTTTACATGTATTACCTTATGAAACAACTAAAATTTAGCAAAATTTTAGAGTTTTTTAACTAATTTTTTTATCAAGAAAAACAATTTATCTCAAAAAGTGCTAAGTTGGCACTAGTAAACCCATATATTTAACTCTTATAACAAAATGAAATAAGATGATTTTTAACTAAATTGTGCCAACTTAGCACTTTTTAACAAAAAAAGTAAAAGAATGACCTTACCCCATTATTTTTAAATTTTTGTAAAATATATTAAAAGTTATTAATGCAAATAGTTTTACATTATTTTTTACATTTTTTTATAAGGGGAAGATGTTTTTAGTAAAAGTGTATGTCTAGAAATTAAAAAAAGGATTAAAACAAATTTTTGACCTTCACCTCCCCTCCCCCTCTTGACCTTTTTTCATTAAGCTTTTTTTTTTTTACCAAATTTAATCTGGTTAATACAACCATCAATAAAAATAAATATTTCAGCATTGATACTGTTTTAAAATAAACAAATTGCAAGAGTTAAAATCAAAACTGAGGGCTTTGTGGTATATATATCTTTAGTTTAATAACAATGAAGCTCACTGAATTTGACTTATTTGAAATTTTTATTGCTGAGCAAAATAAATAACCAAAAACTATTTCTGCAAATATAACAGGTTGTATACTGATAATTGCTAAGGCACTTGGCTCTAATGAATTGACATTTGCACAAAAAACATTAGTTCAGAATAGCTGGCAAAGATCTGCATCTGAAGAAAAACAAACTTAAAAAATGGGGCTAAGCTGGCATACCATTCAAGGCTGGTAAGGAAACCTTGCTTGAAGAGTATGTTAAAGAATAACTCTTTCAATATTTTTCCAATGGAAACAATGTCAATTTAAACAGTTTGTCTTCTTGGTAGGAATTTACAAACCAAAAACTCTTGGTAGGCATTTATATACAAACCAAAAAAAAAAAGCATTACAGAGATATTAAAAAAACAGATTTAAAATGGGAGTACCCTGATACAATTGAAAAAAGAGGAACAAAAACATCAGGCTATATAGCTAGAGAACTATTGCACAAAAAATCAAACAGGGGTTTAATTATTGCACAATTGCCTGTTTAATATCATGGAACATTTCAAAAGTTTGAATTGATGCTAATTCTTTGAGTATTTTCTTTAAGAAGAAAAATTTATGTGATCAATATAAAAGCTATTGTACAAATTTTTATTTATTTCTATTTAACGAGTTTCCACCTGTTACAAAAACAAATTAACCTGCACCGTGTATCAGTATAACACCATCACTTCACAAACTGATTGATCATTCTTGGGAGCTAATTTTGAATAAGGAAAGCGGTTTGGAAATCTTTATTATTTAGGGTTAAAATGTAATAACAAAATATTAAGATTGATACATAATAGACTATCAAGAAAAAACTCCTAAATAGTCAATTTAACTGACACCATTAACTGAATATGGATATCATTTGATCACTTTTTTTTTTAAAACCATTCTGCAAATTTTGGTATGAATGAGGACATTCTGATAAATATTCTTATAAACAAAATGTCTCTATGATGTTTTATCTCAAGGTTTTAAAATGTTAACATGTATAAATTACCTGTTTTAGTACTTCTTTTGATATTTTGATAATTTTTCTTTGATAATTTTTATTATTTTTGTCATTGATGATATCTTAGTATTACAAAATACACATACATATTTTTAAACATTTATACGTATTTTTGTTATAACTTAATAATAATAAAAAAAAAAAAAACAAATTTTATGATATTTTGTTCTTTTAAATTATGACCTAAATATCCTGCAGCAAAATTATTTTTTTCAAAATTTACACATTAAAACCTTTCTAAAAAGTCCTTAATCAACCTTATAGCACATTGTTTGGCCCACTGTGCATAGGTGGTAGAAGCATCTTTTTTTGGGTTTACTAAAAATAATATTGAAAGTTTTTACCAAGAATCAAGAAAGTTTTTTATTTCAGTGTAGAACCAAGCAATTAATTCTAGAACCAAACAGTTCTGCTTTTTTCCTCAGTGTTAAAAAACAGGTTCTAACCTTAACTTTCTGACCTGGTAAAACTCTTTGGTTGAATAATAGACCACACTATGGGAATCACTTAGATTTAAGTATCAAAATCAGATTACAATGTCCTGGCAAGTTATTTACATTTTAATTTTCATCCCAGTAAACACAAAACATGTTTTAAATGTTTTTATACAATTGATAAACGTATTAAATGTATTATAGGCAATTTAAACATGCCTATAATACATTTTAATAAATCTATATTACATCAGGACATTTTGGTACTTAAATCTAAATGATCTCCATAGTGTGGGCTATTATTCAACCAAAGAGTTTTACCAGGTCAGAAAGTTAAGGTTAGAACCTGTTTTATAATACTGAGGAAAAAAGCAGAACTGTTTAGTTCTAGAATTAATTGCTTGGTTCTACACTGAAATGAAAAACTTTCTTGATTCTTGGCAAAAACTTTCAATATTATTTTTAGTAAACCCAAAAAAAGATGCTTCTACCACCGTTTTCTCGGGTCAAAAAGTAATAATAATTAGAACCTGGTTAAGGTTAGAACCTGTTTTATACACTGTGTCCTTATCTAAGCTTATATCTTACTAAATCATTTAATTCAGCTTTTGTAAACAAATTTATAATTTTAAAATTTCTGGAAAAAATTGAAACTCATTAGTAGACTGACAAAATGAAGCGGTTACAGGGACAACTTTTTTGTTCAAGTAAGGTTTTAATTGTTTTAACTAAATAAGGTTATGATAGACTATTTTATTTATTATTGGATTTGTAACCAGAAACAACAATTATGCACAAACAGTAATTTTTTAAATGACTTTTTTTTTCACTCTCCTTTTATTGGTATTCTAAATTATTTATCTTTCTTATACCATATACTAAGATATTTGGTTATTTTTTGGTTACTGATATTTACAATCAAAAAAATGCGAACTGTACTTTTTTCACAGTCAGTTATGTTTCTTTGGTGTTTTTAAACTGCAGTTAACACCTATATCAAGAAATATGATGAAAGTTTTTACAACTACAATTAGATCACATATTTACAGTGTGATTAAAATTATCATTTATCAGGACTACCAACCTAATAATAGTTGATTTTATTGACAACTTTATTGATATAAGAATTTATTTACAATCTAATAACATTTAAGTTAATGAAAATATTTTTTTCACATTTTGAATAAAGTAACACCCTATAAATAAAATTTCAGACAAATTTTAATTGCATTTGTTATGTAATTTATTTCATGCACGCAAAAAACTTTTATACTTATTTGAAAGAGGGTTTTATAATCTATTTAAATTTAATTTAATTAAGTTAAAAATATTATTTAAATATTGAAAATAAAACAGTCAAAGTAAAGGACCTCGAAAAAATAATGGAAATTTTTTTCCAAAAAAAATCGAGAAAAAGGTAAAGCATTTGTTGTTAAGCAGTTTGTGGAATGGGATTTACCCAGATCAACTGCTTATGATAAAATCGTAAAATTGAAGAATGGATCTCTAGAAAGAAAAGTTGGAAGTGATCGAATCGCTAAGGTAGCTACTAAAGAAAATATTCCAAAGATTTCTGCATTTTTTGAAAATAAGTCAGGGTGCTCCCAAAAGTAAGTAGCTCAAGTTTTTAACTGTAGTCAAACTCGAATTTCCCAAGTATTAAAAACAATGACTAACATTCGAACTTTCAAAAAAACAAATCATCCAGATCGTAGCCATCAGCAGAATAAAGCTATGCGTCCTAAATGTCATAAATTGTAGGAAAATTATAAGAACTTGGATTTTGTTATGGATGATGAAAGCTATTTTACCTTAAACAATAACACATTAGATGGTAATGATAGGTTTTATGCCGCTGATCCTTCTCAATGTTCTGATGAAGTAAGATTTGCATAAAAAGTACAAGGACAAGCTCTTAGTTTCTTGTTACATCAGCCCTCATGGAATAAGCCCTCTTTATATTCATTACAGTAAGCAGGCAATCAACCAATACACTTATAAAAAGATACTAGAAAAAACTTTACTTCCTCTAGTATCAGAATATTATAAAAAAGAAAATAAGTTTATCTTCTGGCCTGATCTAGCTCGATCACATTACCCAAAGTTGGTCATCGACTCTTTGAAATTGAAAAAAATCAAAGTTGTACCCAAAGATATAAACCCAGCTAATAATCCAGAAGTAAGACCAATTGAAAACTTTTGGGGTGATTTAAAATGGCTAGTGTACAAGAATAATTGGAGAGCTGAGAATTTGGAAGAGCTTGAAGCAAGAATTAGATATTGCTATTCAAAGATGAATAAAGAAATTTTCCTTACTCAAATAAAACATCTTTCAAAAAAATTTTATAATATTGTTAAATATGGTATTTGAAATAATTATTTTAATATATTTATAAACTACATAGACTAACATATTAACAGTTGAAATATTAAATAATAAAACTTATTTGTTCTTAAAATATTAATTTTTAATTTTTGTCCAAAATTTTATTTATGAGGTGTTAATTTTAAAAAATGTTAGAAATTTGATAATGGTATTACTTTTTTGTTTTTGTTGTAAGCAGCACATAAATGACAGGAATTAAGAAGTTTTCATCTTTGGTATTATTCAGATTGTTATATATACATGTTTATTGAATAGACTTGGAACTATATTTTACAAAAATGTTGAAACATTCGTTCGAAAAAAAAAAAGATTTCTATAAATATTCCCTTATTATTTCAATTGATCAATTGAAGCAATCTTTGAACATTTGCTCAAATCTAAAATTACCTTTTTGAAATTTTTAAGTGCCTAATAATTTTTTTGGTTTAAATACAACTTAAAGCAAAAGTTTTATTTACCAGTTTTGTTATATTTATATTATTTCATGTTTATTTTTAATATTTGTTTTTAAACTTTGAAGAAAAAAGTCCTTTGTTTACTATTACTATGTTTTCATTTTGTTTTTGGATGTAGATTCTTTTTTATTGTTATTAACATTATTATTACTATAATAATAATGATAATAATAATAGTAATAATGATAATAATAATAATAATAATAATAATAATAATAATAATAATAATAATAATAATAATAATAATTATTATTATTATTATTATTTATATTAAATTTATTTAAAAACAAAATTGTGTAGCAGATGACGATGATGAGTTCATGACCCCAACATCTTCTCCTCCTAGTGAAGTTGAGAGTGAACCTAATAATGATTTGGTTGCAAACCTTACTACAGATGAAATAACAAGTAAATTTTATAACAGGTAATCATAATACTAGCAAATTAATTTAACATTAATTATCCTAGCAAGATAGTTTATGCATAATGTCAAAGATGAAGTAATTGCAATCCAAAAAAAGAAAAAAAAATCATCAAAATGTTTTATATATTTTTATGTTATTTTATTTAATAAATATATACATTTATAAGGAATTTAAGGTTATAGTTTTTTTGTCTTAGCTATACATTGGATTTGACAATGGTACAGATTCTTGTTTGTGATATAAAAAACAACTGGAGTATTTCTCAATCAAGTGGATTCACTTCTGATCATGTTCTTGAAGAATTCTCTGTATGCTTTTCATTCAAAAGGTGATACAACTCTTAAAATAAAATTTTTTGTTTAAAAGTATTTTATTTTCTGTGTTTATTTTTTGTTAAAATAGTAGAAATGGTAATATAAAAGTTATTGTCTAGGCGTATTATATTTTCTGCCGATCCTGCACTACCAGCACTAATACTCACTGGTGTCTTGCCACAGTTGCTTGTGCACATAGATGAGAAAAAGGTATTATTTACATTGTTTTAGAGAAAAAAAGTTTTTAATCCAATTTTTTTGATTTTTTATTGAACACTTTATTAAATACTTGGTTTATATTTTTTGAAAATCTCATGGTTTACATTTAATCTCATGGTTTAGCTTCAAATATTGAGTAGATGCGCAAACATGTTGACCAATAAATCCTCAGCAAGTTTGACTCAATCAGGTATGTTTTATGCATGTTATGTTTTATTGGTATTTTTGTGTATGTTTTATTTGTTTAGTTTTTTTGTTTGTCCTGTTTCAATTATTATATTATCTTTTTCCGTAATACATACAATATATTTTTTTGTAATATATTGGTTACAAAAAATATACATTTTTATTGGAGATGATCAAAGTATTTAGGCAAGTATTACAGTTTTTTGTTAATGAATAATTAACTAACTAATTTGTTATTCAATAACAATGAAACAGTAAATTGAATGTTTACTGCTAATATATTTACTGCCTGTAAAGTTATTGATTAAGTGTAGTCTTATTCTTTATTCTGAATAGTGCTTTCTAAACTATTTCATAACCAACATAAAGTACTGTTTCTGTTTTTCATCATTAGTGTCGAGGTTATTATATTCACCTATAAGGGTTACTCCACACTCTGCTATATCATTCACAACTCTCAATAAACTAACTATAGGTTTGCAGGGTGAACTAACTATAGACTAATGTTCATCATCTTTCCAGCTAGTGGGATCAATGCTGAGAAATGACGATGATATTCCAGTAATCTCAAAGAAGTAGTGCAAATTTGTGGAGAAAAAATATTCAAGTTCTTTCAACTGTGTTAGTGCCTCATCTTCATTTTTTTGTGTGAATTTTCAGTACCAGCAATTGTGTGAGCTGTCGTCATTCCTCATGTGTGTGTGTGTGTGTGTGTGTGTGTGTGTGTGTGTGTGTGTGTGTGTGTGTGTGTGTGTGTGTGTGTGATCAATTTTACATATTGACAATACAGTTGATGAAATCTGAACAACTGTTTGATCAATTGAGGATCATTTTGCCTGAATGACCACTACTTCCAGGACAGTTTCTAGAACATAATGATGACAGGCCAACTAAAATATATCTATTTCCATCTTTTGCTCAAATAATGCGCACAACCCATTATTCCATTCAGTATTGACTGTTGCTGTATTGTTTGACAACTAGTGATGCATGAACTGCATCACTAGTTTTATGGGAACTCAGAGACAATGTTAAAGCTAAAGTTTCATGGGTGGCTTTGAGAGGAAATCAAAGATTCTATTAATATAAATTCATTACTGGTTGCCTCTTCCTCATTTTTTGACGATATGAACTTGTGAACAACATGTTCTTCATGAATCAATTTACATGTTTTTTCTACATCTTTTCTGGTCTTCCTACCTCCTCAGCTTTGATGTCTCTATCTTCACTAATGCCACATCAAGAAACCCTATATTTTTCCTTAATAAATAAGCTGTTGATAAGGTGGAAAATCTGTTCCCTGAACAGATTTTCCACCTTATCAAAATTTCTTATTTCTTATTTCCACCATTTTTCTAGCCTTTCTGGTATATACAGCTTTTTTCTATACTTATAATATATCTTCTGCTGTGGCATGACATGTACTCCTCACTGTTTTCTTTTAAGTTTGCTTACAGTGGAAAAACAATGCCAATTCTTTATTTTTTGAGAGCAGCCTGGATGCATTCAATTTAGACAAGATTCGACCTATAATCTATAGCTCAATATTCCTTCAGCATGTGGTTGTATATAAATAGTTTTATATATGGTATAATGGTACACCAGACAAACATAAAAAAATGGGATGCTTTTCATATCATCATAACATAAAACACCTAATAACTAAAAGAACCAATCAGATTGTTAGCTGGAAGATTGTTTCTCATTTCTTTCATATATGATTAATTGTAGATAAAATGTAAAACAAGAAACTAATAACTTCGAAGTGTGGTTGCAACCTCTATAAATGTTCTAAAGTTATTGAATTTTAACAGGATTTTTTTTTCATAAATTAAAACCTTATAAGAAGGTGCCCCACAAAATGTTCAAAAGATTATTTTTTTAAATCTTCATAGTCTAGATAAAAAGATTGTCTTCAATAAATTAAAAAATTTTTTTTCTTTAGAAACTAGTATTGAAGTTCCTAGCAAATCTTTGGTTAATTCGTAAGTTTCTTTTAAATTTGTTTGTTACAATTAATCTTGTTTAAAAGTATTTATTTTGTTATGCTAATTTTTTTGTTTGTTGTTTTACTTAAATTGCTATTATTCATTATATCCTAATCCAAGAATTTTCATTTTTAAAAGTAATAGCAAAAGTTTAACATTTGCAGGTTCTTAACCAATTTGTTAATATAAAAGTTTTTTGTAAGAGTATAATTATATAGAGTATAAATACCACTTGCATGATATTCTTTTTTTGAATAGCTGCAATATGTTTATTGATTTTGAGAACAGTTAAAGGTAGAATCCAATGGAATCCAGTGAATTGAATGTCAAAAATATTTTGATAAAATTTTTCTGCTTATGTATCTTGCTGTTATGAACAAGTAAAAAATCACCAACATTAGAGAAAATAACATTGACATTGGTATAAACTTTTATGGCAGAGGGTTAGGATGTAATAAAAATTTTGAAACAAAATCTCAGGCATATGTCATTTTAAAGTGGTAGCTGGCTTCATTCTTAAGTGGTAGTTAGAGAAATTGAATTATAGAAATTGAAATAAAGAAAAGAAACTAGATTAAAAAGTTTTTAGAGCATTAATCAACAGATACCGTAAAATGATGAAATAGATATTTTGCTAAAAAATCAATCAAGCCAGAATGAGTTTTGGTTAATGGAGCTAGAGATGGTAGCTCATTTGAGCAGCGACTATGATAGTATTTCTAGAAAAGAAAAAGAGGTGCAACATTTTGATATAGCATAGAGATAGAGCATAGAGATAGAGCATCATTTACCATAAATTTTTGGACTTTCTTTAGAGGTAGAGAATGGAATTTTTATAGAGGTAGAGAATGGAATTAGGAATAAGGTAATGGGAAGCAAGGTAATGAGAGGTAAATTTGTAACGGGATGTGTATATGATTTCAATGAGATAAGAGTAGTAAATGATATTCTGAGAAGACCTCATCAATCTCGTTTCTCCACGCAGCGGCCTTGTTCGTCAAGGTTCGTGTTTTGCAGTTATAGAGTTGAGAGAGGGTTATAGCCACAAAATAAGTAGCCTCCTCGTCTGTAGTGGCCTTCTCGGCTTTGAGGAGGTGAATTAAAATTAAAAAAAAAAAAAAAAATCTGAGAAGACCTTATCAATATAGGAATATCAAAAACAGCGTGGAAAATAAAAAATCGAAAGCAAGCAGTCAAATTGACCGGCTAACACATGGAATTGACGGTCAATTAATTTTTTTAGATGGTCAAAGTTTATTTTTTTCTTTGTTTAAATTTTCATCTAAGAAATAGTTCTTTTTAATTGATATTAAACACAGAAAAAATACGATTACATTATTTTGATGCTCAAAAACTAACTCGTATTCTTTTTAAGATAATAGTTGTAAATAAAATCAATTTATTTTAAAGTTTAAACTTGTAAATAACTAATGTTCAAAATACCTGCTAAAGATAATTTGTTTAAAATTACGCTTGCGCCACAGATTTTCTTTCAATAAAAAAAAAAATTTAATAGTATCCATTAATCTAATGTTAACTTTTTTTTTTTTTTTAATATCAAAAACAAATTTTATTTTTAGATATTTAAAAAAGATTTAGACTGAATACTTAAAGAAATTTTCATTAAGACGAGTTGATGTTGGATGCTTCTCTTACAATTCAATCATAGAAAGAAGAAAAAAAACACCGCAATTGATAATTTTAAATTTATTTTAAATTAATTTATTCATTGCAATGGCTGATGAGAACATCGGCAGAAAAAAGCTATGAAAAAAAAATAAAAGAAATGATTAAATTAAACAAAAAGAAAAAAGTGCAGTTAGTAGAGAAAATGTTCTTAGTTACAAAAAATTTTAAATAGTATTTTTATATCTCTAATTTATCATGGTTCATTTGAAAAACTGTAAAAGTTAGTTATTTATAACTTCATTACCACTCGGGCGCAAATATTTTACTATTTAAACTTGATACTTACTTGAATTCAGACTGTAAGCATTTTCCGTGGCTCAGATCACTAGTTTTCCCCATCATATGGTCTAGAAGAAGCAAATTTAAAAAAATATATATAATCTTTTAGGTAACAAAAGCGAATTCAAGACTTTTTGCTTGATACTTGAATACTAAGAAGACAAATTTTTTATGAAACACAACTACAAAAATTACTAATGTTATATAAAACCAGATTTTACTAAACATATTGTATGTTTTAAAGTTAAAAATTTAAATTTAATTAATTTTAATTTAATAAATTTAAAATTTTCTATAATAGGATTCTTAAAGATATATTATATATCTTTAAAATTTAGATGATTTAATGAAATTTTAGTATATGCGTTTTCCAAATTATATGGTTAATTGTAAAACCTTGTTTTTCAAAACTTTGATTTTTTTTTTCAACCAGTCCAACATGACCGGCAAGAGTTTGTTTTAGGAGGTCAAAATAGCAATTTTAGTCATTTCAGGTGGTCGTTGACCATTGACTGGTCGTTGTTTTCTACGCTGCAAAAATATTGTGAACTAATGAAGAAGACCGGCATACCAGACTTCATTGAAAGTCTTCATTGATATTTCAAGAACAAAAGTCTTGCATACCTCAATCTAATATATAATGCATAAAAAACCATTCTGTTAACAGATTGTAATATTTGCAGAATGAGAGAGTTATTCGACTCAAGATAAGATATTAGAAGTTTTTTAAATATTTAAAGACCTTGCTGATAATAGAAAAAAGATTGCTTGAAGAAAATTGATTGGATAATGGTTAGAAGAGTCAGAGTATGATTTTGAAATTTTTTATTTATAATATTAAAAAAAACAACACAAATACCATTTCTCAGCATTCAGAACAAGATTCAGGTAAGCACTTAAATAGCTTATAAACAGTTGAAGAAAATCAGTTGAAGGAAGAGTGTGGCAATTAAGTTTTAGACTTAAATTAGGCATAAAGTTTTTTGCAAATAGTTCTGGCTTATATCTGGTTAAGGTAATAAAATCAGACCCATGTATTAGAGATGGAATCTTTAACTTTTTTAATGACACTGTTAAAGGTTTTTCAAATGTCTCTAGAACCTAACATCTAGGGTAAATTAAAAGATTTTTATTTTTTTTTGGGTTCAAGCTGAACACCCTGCACATCTATATATTCTGAGTACCCGCAGTATGTATATATATATATATATATATATATATATATATATATATATATATATATATATATATATATATATATATATATATATATATATATATATATATATATATATATATATATATATATATGTCAGGTACCCAGCTCAGGTTATTTGAACAATTTTCCCAGATACTCAGAGTACATGGACTTTTTGTAGGCCTGCCTTGGACCCAGAAAAACAGGACTTAGCCAAGTACCCAACACATCTTCATATAAAATATCTGAAAGTTATCATTAATTAAATTAAATTAATTAAAAGTTATCATAGATTAATATATACATTTAAGTTATCAGAAAATTATCATAAATTAGCATATACATCTAAGATATCTGAAAGTTGTCATAAATTAGTATATACATTGAAAATATCTGAAAGTTATCATAAAATAGAATATACATCTACAATAATTTTACTTGTGTTTTTTGTACTTGTGTGATAAAAAGCTTTGAAAATATTTTATTTAGAGACTTGCCCGAAAACCTTTTCAATACTGATGATTTAATTGTTGATTCGAAACTGTTTGTTGGCAATTTTACTTTTAAAAAGTTATTACTTGGTTTACATAGTAGAGGTAAGCTTATTATAGTAATGAACTTCATTTTAAATGATATTACTTATAGTAACAAAGTTTTGTCATCGTTATATTTTTTTTAGGTAGATGTGTTGCTGAACTGCAGGTTTCTGGAGTTGAATGTAGTCTGGTGAAGCGTCCATTTGATCTCTCTATATCATTTATTGTATCTTCTGTCCTCCTAATTGATGCTATGCAAACATTTGGAAAAGAATATGAACTTCTTGTTAGCTCTAAAGTAATAAATAAACCAGGTAAAATTTTAAATAGTCACGGTAATGAGATATTTATGGTAATAAGATTTACTGTTTAATATAGTAATAAACTTATTTGGTTATCAAATTTATTATTATATAAGTGCTAAATTAAGTAAATGATGTTCATTTGTTTTTTATCTTCTTTTTTTCAGCAGATAATAAAGATGTATTGATAGAAATTTCTTATCATCATATCAACGCAAATTGCCCATCATTAGGAAATAATGATACCAAAGCAAAAAGTGAAGCCTGTATTATAGTTAATTCATTGCACGTAAACGGTACTTTTTATTTGAAAAAACTAAATCATTTAAAAAAAAAAAAATAAACATATATATTGTTCCAGATTTTTCAGTAGTAAAATGTTTTAGAAGTAAAAATAAAACTTTTTTTTTGAAAATAAAAGAGGCAGACCTCCACTACATTAACCTCCCCTACATATTTTCAGACCTCCACTACATGTACATATGTGTGTGGGGCAGTAATCTTTTCTTTTATTATTCTTCATTTTTTTCTTTTTTTTCTAAAAAAGCCATATGCTATAAAGATAAGCAAAATGAGTAAGCAATTTCTGGTCTATAAAATATAAATAAACAGATATAAAATTTCTGTTACAACAAAACATGTTTATCAAATTTCTCTATAACTTCTAATGTTTTATAATGCATTATTTTAAACATATTTTTTTATATTTTAATATATTTACATAAACATTTAAAATTAATGAAATGATTACTAGCTATTTTCAATTTTACTTAAACAAACTTTTTTTGTTAGTGTACAATAATTATTTTGGGGTTGATTTTGTTCATCATTTGATGTCTACAATTCAATAAGTTTGGTATGTGGTTAATTTACCAATATAAAAATAGATTCCTAATACAATACCTGATAAAATATAAAGGAAAAAAAAAAAAGTTAATGGGCAGCCTTTTTTTTTTGTTGTGTTTTGTAAACTATGGATGTGTGCAAATTTTTTTGTATGCTATATATGCACACACATATAAAAGTTTTTGTATTCATGGTTGAAAAAAACAACAAACTGAAACCTTTTTATAATCTATCAACACTTGGCATATAAAATTAAGTTACAAATCAATAGCAATTAGTTTAATTAAAATTATAACAAAAGTTTATTTTTTGATAACCAAGTTAAATAAAAATTAAGAAATGGTCATTTTCATTATGCTTTATATATATATATATATATATATATATATATATATATATATATATTATATATATATATATATATATATATATATATATATATATATATATATATATATGTATATATATATATATATATATATATATATATATACTCTTGCGTGGCATCAAAAAAAGTTTCCCATAAACTGTAGTTTTAAAGAGCGCGTTAATAAACCAGACCAGAAAAAGTTTTAAAAATTAAATTTTTTTTTTTAATTGATAGACTGCCTGGCCAAACCAAGCCCTCAGTCGATGTAGCAGCACTCTCTTGCGAGTCAGGCTATTTGTCAGTCGTTGTAGCAGCACTCCCTTGCGAGTCAGGCTATTTGTCAGTCGATGTAGCAGCATTCCCTTGCAAGTCAGGCTATTTGTCAGTTGATGTAGCAGCACTCTGTTGCGAGTCAGGCTATAAGATAGTCGATGTAGCAACATTTACGCATGTTTTAAAAATGTTTTTTATTAAATCAATAACAAAAACACCACTAATTAAAAAAAACTTTCTAGTCGTTATAATTGCGGTTTTTTAAAATTTTTTTAAAAAACAATTAAATTTAATGTACTTCCGCATAAATTAATTGCTTTGACATTTCGATGACAATCAAAAACAGCTTAAGAGACGAGGTAATTAAAATTGTAGTCGTAAGAGACTTTTTTTACATTAAAACGCTCTTTCGACTACACTATATGGGTATATATATATATATATATATATATATATATATATATATATATATATATATATATATATATATATATATATATATATATATATATATATATATATATATATATATATATATATATATTATAAAACCATGTAATGCTCAACAATTAGAGTATAATTTTTTAATTAAAAAATCAGGACATAATCCCAATTACATAAAAAACTGTATTACTGATTGTGCTAACTGTATTTTCTATTATAATAACATTTTCATTTGTTTTTATTTGAACAATTTTTGTTATTGTCTCTTTTTTTTCTTTTCTTTATTTTCTTAGGGAATTTATTTTCTTTATTTTTTTAGGAAATTTAGAGACAATTGTTGAATTAAATAATGTTATTAATCAAGTTTTCCCGAAAGAGGAGAAACCTGTTCAGAAACACAATATTTCTTATGAAGAGGAAGAAAATAAGGTTCTTATATATACTTATACAATAATTGTTTTATTATACTTTTAACCTTGAAGCACAACTGATGACATCATATTGGGATAGGCTGAGACTTGAAAACACTGTATAAAAAATATACAAACAACATACATTTTGTGCGTACAAAGACTTTTTATGTAATAACTTAAATGAATTTTTTTTTGAAAAACTACAAAAAACAACAACAACAAAAAAACAAAAACAATAAAAACAACAATATATCAATAGTTTCAGTATTAAAAAAATTTTTGTTTTTATTTTGATTTATATTTTTTTCATTATTTTGCTTAATTTTTTAAAGTTGACAGTTTATTGGAAAAGTTTATGAACTCTATTTAAGTGTAGTGGTAGAACACTTGATTCATTAACAAGAAGTTCTGAGTTCGATTCCCCATTATGTTCCTGGTAGTACCATGCTCAACTTGTTTCTCCATCCTGCAACATTGTTTGTTCAAGTTTGTGTTTCGGAGTTATAGAGTTAAAATAGGGTTGTAACTACAAGTAGACTCCTTGACTGTGGCCTTCTCGGCCTCATGGAGTTGACATAAAAAAAAGACTATTATACTTATTATTTTGCTTCAAAGACACGAAAGAAAAGTTTTACATTAAATTGTTACTGATAAAAAATGGAATGATTTTAAGAATTCCAAATGGAAAAAATCATAGGTTAATCCAGAACAACCATCAACATCGACTGCAAAACCAGATCGATTCAACAAGAAGGCAATGCTCTGTGTTTGGCTGGATCAGAAAGGTGTGGTGTATCATGAGCTTCTAAAACCTGGTGAAATGGCTAATACTAATCTCTACAGGCAACAAGTGATTAATTTGAACCATGCTATACAACAACAAAACAAAACTACCACCGAACTCAAATCTAGGTGTTTACAAACTTAAATGCTCATGTGGAAGTATATATATTGGTGAGAAGAAAGAGCCTGTAAAAATCAAAAATGGTTGAGTTCAGGAGCCACGGAACATTCTAGAACATGTCATGGTAATTTTGATTGGCTGAATCCTAAGACATTTTAGGCAGTCATTCTAGAATACAGGGTAAAAAAAGTTAGAGAACCCCTGGACATAAATAAAGCAAGATAGGTATTGGGCAAACTGTTGTGAATAGAGATGACAAAGATAATGTGAAAACAAAAACTAGTGGACGAATTTTGACAAAAATTTAACTGACGTCACTATTATATTATTTGATTGGTTTTTATATTTAAGGCTTTTTAATGTCTTTTTTTTTAAATGGTTGGTTTTATGTTATTTTGTAACGTTTTTTCATTTCCTGATGACACTGACCACAATAGGTCAGCCAAATATCGTTAATATATTATTATATCAAAATGTTAAAAAAAAATAGTTATATGCTGCTTTTTTTATTGAAATCAATTTATATATTTATAAACATATATATATATATATATATATATATATATATATATATATATATATATATATATATATATATATATATATATATATATATATATATATATATATATATATATATATATATATATATATATATATATATATATATATATATATATATATATAATAATAATGTATATTAAAACTGGAAAAAAGTTTGAATTATTAAATTTACTTTTTTTTTTTTTTAGAATGTTGATGTTTCAGTTCCAAATGTTATTTCAAACCAGTTGCATATAAGTGCAGAGTTCTATGAGCTAAACATTGTTTTGTTTCGAACCATTATTTTAAATGGAAAAAAAGAGCCATTGAAGGTTGCAAAAATAAGTTTAAATGAACTTGAATTGTCTACTTTTGTAGCTGAAAAACAAGCTTCTGGCTCCATTCGTAGCTTGATTGTAAATGATCTAACAAATACCTCTTTACCCCACAAATGTATCTTTAATTTAGGAGATTCAGATAAAAGCTCTTTAATTGAGTCTGAGACAAAGGCTATTCAATTTAACTATCAAATAATGGAATCAAATAAAAAGTTAAATCTACAAATTGCATCCGCATACTACCTTCATAACCAACAATTCTTAAATGAAATAACTCTGTGTAGTGGTGATTACAAACAATATGCTCTAAATCTTGCACAATCACTTCAAGATGCAGCATCAGATATGGCAAAAACAATTGTTGTCAGGCGTAGGAATGCTAGTTATGCTAAAAGCACCAATGAGTTATTTCAAGTAGATTTGGAAAACTCATCGCATGTCAAAGAAAGAAACCTTCTTTTAGATGTTTGCATCCAAACACCTGTTGTGATGTTTCCAAACAATGATTTAGGTTTAGAACTCTTAATTGCTTACTTAGGGAAAATAAATATTAGTAACTCTTACATTCCAGAGAAACCTGTTCAAGAAGTTGACATTGATTATGCCGAAGTAAGAGATATTGATAGACTCACTGTTGAAATAAAGAAAGTAAATTGTTCTTCTTTATCCATTTCTTCAGAAACTATTGATCAAATTGTTTCTGGTCACTCAAAATTATCAGAGGTTCTTCATTTATGTCCTCAAATGCAACTTTTACACAATACTGATTTTTTTCTGAAAGTTGACCGATACAATGGGGTGTCAGATAAAGTTCAGTGTTTAGATGTTCAAGCAAAAGTCAACTCCCCTCTTAAATTGTTTTTGTCAGTGCCTATATACAAACAGATATTGTCTACAATTGCATATTCTTCAAAGACTTCTAAAGACTCATTATCTCCAGTACCATCAAATGCCAAGATAAATATTGAGTTAAACGAAAATACAAGGTAATTTTATTTTAATTTTTAAGTAGTTCTGAATTAAGTCATACTTTTTATTATTATTACTATTATTTCTGTTTTTACTATTTAATTTTAAGTTTATTATTATAAAATTTGCTAATATTTCTTTATCAGGGCTTAAAAATTAGAAATGCAAAAGTACAACAGTGCAGAAAAATTGTGTTCTTGTGCAGTTTTTTTTTTTTGCAATAGACATAGAACATTGTGCATTTGTTAAGAAATAAAAAATAAAAATGTGCAGAAATTGTACATGTTTAAATTTGTTGAAATTTGCTCTGTTTTCATTAATAGCACAAATAAACATTCTATAACTTATTGAATTACCAGTACACCAAGTTAATGCGAACTTTCTAGATTTGTAAGAAAAATCTAAACCATGGTATACATCAAAACCATGGTATACATCAAAACCATGGTATACATCAAAACCATGGTATACATCAGAGCAATAGCAATATTTATGCAAAAAAATAAAAAAAAGAAAATGAAAAAATACTTATAAAGTTAAGACAATTTTTGCTGTTTTATTTAAAAGTATTTTATTATTTTAAAGTTTTGACTACATATAGTTATTGTCAGTTAAGTTGTGTAAAAAATTTATCTGTTAAAAATGGTATAAAATACGATATATTATTGTGAAATAATTAAAGCCATAAAAGTTTTCTTATTCTTTTTTTTTTTTGTGATGTATTTTTTACTGTAAACATTTTAAGTAACAAATTTAATTTTTTTGAGATATTTTACCAAACTTACCTACTAGATAACTTAATATATGTTAAGATAATATAATATAATAAAAAAAATAATTAAGATATAATATTAAAATGTAGTATTATGTTAAAAAAAAAATAATATAAAAAATTCATGTAAGTATTATAAAAAGTAAGTAGTTAAGTTAATCTAAACTTTAGACCTAACCACTGGTTTATATATTTAATAAATAATTATATTATATTAATTTATTATATTTAACATTATCTTTAGCATCAGTTTTCTCTGAATTAATAAAATTTTAGTGACTTTATGTAGTAATTTACATTGTTTGATTTATAAATTAATCTAACTATTATAATTAATTTTCATCTCAATAAGTTTGAAAGAAGAAGAAACTTTTGATCCTGTTTCTGTTGAGCTAACAGCAAAGTTACAAGTACCTAGCTTACTTATTGAACTTCATGGTGAACTTCACGGCAGCTCACATGAATTTGTAAGGATTGATTTAGATGCATTTGATTGTTTTTATTCTAATGTGGATCCCATTCCTGTTATGAGAATAACTCTACAAAACTGTATGATAGAAGACCTTCTCTACTTGAAGCAAGATAAATACAAATATCTAGTTTCTTCAAACCAAGGTGTTGTTTATAATTTATTCTTTTTCTTATTTCAATAAACAAATGTAAGGTTTTTTTTAAAAGTATATCATGAATAAAGAATATATACAGTAGTGTAATGTATACACACATGCACTCACATATCTGTATGTATGTATGTATGTATTTATGTATGTATGTATGTATGTATGTATTTATGTATGTATGTATGTATGTATGTATGTATGTATGTATGTATGTATGTATGTATGTATGTATGTATGTATGTATGTATGTATGTTTGTATGCACATTTATATATGTTTATGTGTTGGTGTGTGTGTATGTGTGTTAGTGTGTATGTGTGTACATGCAGGCTTTGGTAGGAAGAAATGAGTGCCAAGCTATGAATAGTCCCTCTAAAGAGATCTAGATGGTCATGCACTGTTTTTTTTGAGAGATTAAAACTATCATGTTGTGATGATAATTTTTAATATTTCCACTGAATTTTTATTTCTTTCTTTCTTCATTCCAGGGATAGTAAAAATAATTATTTTTTTAGCAATAAAATGGCAGAAAAACAGACTTCCATTTCAAAAAAAATTATTTATTTCATCCTAACATTTTTTTTCAAATTAATTTTCAAATTGTTATTTTTATAATTATTTAACAGTTTAGTCACTAATAAATAAATAAATAATAGTATAAAAATGCTATAATATAATCAATTGTTTTAATAAAACAACAATTTAAAAATAGTGTTATACAATATATTGACATTTTATAAAAACAATTGATCGTATATGTTATTATAAAAGTTCATTTATTTCGCTTCTTTGTGAATAAAAATGTCATTGAATATGAAAAAATCGTAATCAAAATCGTATCAAATAATTGTACTATAATAACAAGGTGCTACAAATCATTTAAAAAGACTTTCGCAAATAAAATTTTTTTTTTAATGTTTTTGTTTAGGTTTATTTCTTTACTTTTACTGGGCAAAATTCATAACTAATTTAATATTAGGGCTATATTCACTAAAATTAGCATGAGTACTATTATGATAACTACACTTTTTATGAATGTTATATTTATTTCGTTGCTATTAATACCTTATTTTGTTTAGCAACAATCTATTTTTGGTATTTGCAGATATTTTACAAGTGCTATATTCACTAAATTTGACAATAGTACTAATATGAGATCACGCTTCTTATAAAAGTGATAATTTTTTTTATTTAGTTGCTATGGATACTTACTTGCTTAGTTACTAGATGCCTTCCTTAGTTAAATAAGGTTTAAATTTAGTGAATATAGCAAAAATCAATTTACCTTGTGTAAATTGATTTTTGAATAAATTTTATCAACCCACCTATATTGAATAAGAATTAAGTATTTACATAACATTGTTTTAGCAATAATAAAAACAAAAAATAGTGCAAGAAAAAATTGTCAATTTTAAATTACATCAAAAATCTATTAAATAATAATATCATTTGAAGATTGTTTAAGTATGATGGAAATGTTTTATGATTTGTTCGGTTTTATGTTGATTTATGCAGAAATGAAATAACAGGATCACTGGAAACTAGGAGTCTATTGATCAGATCAGTATTTGTTGCACTTTTGGATGTTTTTTGCCTGAAATTTTTGCGATAAGGTTTGAAGTCTTTATTTCTAGCCTCTTGAACTTCCTCTGACTTAAGTCAAATGGGTAATGTAAGGCTTTTAATAATGTCATGTGCATGTATCAATATAATACATGTATATGAGCCATTTATCAATACTTTGTTTACATGTACATGAGCCATGTAATACCATGGACAGCCCTCAGAATTAGGGTTGGCATTTGAAATACACTGAAAGCGGCAAAAAATTGTTTTTTGCTGACCTCAGTGTTTGAGGTCGGCAAAAAATTATTTACCTTGTTTCTATGTCTTTTGGTATAATCTTTGTACCAATTTTATTGGATTAAGGGACACATATAGTCTAACAGGGTCAAAACAATAATCTTTGAATTTTAGGCAGTCTGTTTCATATTCTGAAGAGATTGTTACCAAGATAATGTAAAATATGAATATAAGGTTTTGATCAAAACCCATAATTTCAGCTGTTTGTTCATATGCTGCAACAGCACGCTTGTAGTTGCTTGCCATCGTTGCTTGTTCCAGAGTCACCACTTTTAGGAAAAACAACAAATCCGATTTTGTTAAAAAAACCAGTCTGAATCATTGTTTAACTAGAGATACCTTTTCTTTGTGTTCTTTAGATCTTGCTTGCCACTTTCTTGTTTCTTATTTATATGCAATGTGGAAAATCATTTCAAAAAATCAAATCCATGCATGGAGGCTGGAAAGACCATATTTGAGCTCTCTGTTAGTATAATCTATATTAAGGATATCAAGACTATTCATATTTTTTAGAGAAACACCACACACTGAACAGCATTGGTATGAGTTAGTTTTTTCAGATAATATCATTCGAACCTTCCCATTAATCATTGTAAAATCAATAATACAATTCACTTCAATAGAAGACCCGCAAACCTCTAATAAAATCATACCCAAGCTTGTTATCTCACTTTTAATGTACTGATCTTCTTCGATCTCAGATTCCTTGGATTCCATTTTGTATGTAAATCTTATGGGTCTACAATAGGCTGTGGATATTGACTTGATTCCTCCAAATAGGCACCTTTTTGTTACTGTTGTTTAATCTGGTCAAATCTAATCAGACTAGACAAGTAATAAATTGTGGTTCTTCAAGTTTTAAATCTCTGTTCATGTCAGGTTCTGATAAAAATTGTTTATAAATGCTTTGGCTAGTAGCACCATCAAAACCAGCCTTACACGTGAGTGTCATTGTTTTTATTCCTTTTCGTTCAATATCAAGTGTCTCAGCACATGTTCCTAAACTACACAGATTCTTTGCAAAGTATGAATCATTAAGTCTTTTAAAGGAACTGAAGCTGAATAATCCTTCACTGTTATATTTGCAGGATAACATTTCAATTTTGCATCCCTGACATAATTGTGAACAGGGTGGATGTTGTGTTCTTTCTCCAGGGCTCCGCTTCTGATCAATTGATGGGATGCTTTTGTCAGACTGGCATCAATTATTAAATTAAATTAAGCCAGTGCTCCTTCTGAATATTTACTTGCTTTATCTGTATTTTGACATATTTAAAACGTTTTTGGCAGCAATAACAATAGATTCATCTCTTAATTTTTTACTAGAAGCAAAAATTAATTCATTGGATGAATGAGATTCAAGTAAGCCAAATACACACCACTTTTAATTTTTATTAGAACTATCATCAAATGTAACTGGTTTTCCACCACGTCTACTTGCGGTTGGTTCATTATCTTTTTTTCTGACAATTAAATATTAAGCCAATTCACAAACTTCTTTTTAAAATTTTTGACTATATAGTTGATGGATTTCCACTTTTTTTTTTACAAGTAAACAAATTGTTGAACAGGATACCTGAAATCAACGTCTTCAAATTCAGCAATTTTTGGCTGAATAAATTTTAATATATCTTCAGTAATATTTTGTTTTGAAATACTAAGATTGTTTTTTTCGAGAAAATTATGAATGTCTAAGTTTAATAAAACCTTATCTAAACAATTCTGATAACAAATATTTTGTATTTAAAAGTTTAATACTATAATATATATGCCACCTTGACTACTAACTCTTGTTAGTTACACCAGGTTACTATAAATGTTTTTAATTAAAATTAAAAGTAAATAAATTAATGTTAGTGCTAGTAATTAAATTACCAACAACTACTGAAAATATGTTGTTGCTATCCTATGCAAAGTAAGGTATCCATAGCAACCCAAAAAATTGACCTCATAAGAATTGTGAATCTCATTTTAATACATACGCCCAATAGTGTGTGCTTTGTGCAAATAAAATACTGTTAAAACAATGTTAATGTGAAAATATGTTGTTGCTATGCAAAATTAAGTACCATAGTAACCAAGTTATAAAATAAAATATAAATAGGGATTTAAGGGGACAAGCAATCAATGGAAACTCAATTGAAACATCATAAAACTTAAATGAATGTTAAACTAAGAAAAATTTATTGATATTGTGAATTGTGACAGCAATGTTTATGCAGCAAAAAAAAATTATTCAAAGATTTATCACTGAGGTAACATGCTATGACAAATTTATTTCACACAATGGTTTTCCTTATCTCTAAATACTCTAAAATAACATGTACTAATTATTGTTTTAAAAACGTAGATGTAATTCAAATATCACACAACATTGATGTCACCGAAATTATTTATAATTTTTTTATTTTTTTATTTCAATATTCATATGCTCAGAGTCCTCGTAACTAAGGGATTTAATATAAATAAATATTTTAAACTCGTAACTAAGGGATTTAATATAAATAAATATTTTAAACTCGTAACTAAGGGATTTAATATAAATAAATTATCAATAAATTTTTCTTAATTTAAAATTAAATTTGCTAATTTGTGTTATGTGTATATTTTTATTATTTATCATTATTTGATACCAGTGGTAACTATTGGTTGCAGATTTTTTCCTTAGTTCCATGTTTATATAGTATACTGTTACACAAATTAAAAATAGATTTAATGTTTGGCATGCAGGAGTAGTTTTTTTTAATGTAATTTCTATTAAAGTTTTTCATAGTTTATGAGCTAAAGAAAAATCAACTGATGGTTGATCAACCATGGCCAAATAATGATTGTCTATTTTTTATAGCTGCATTAAAAGTGAGTTGTACCTAAGTTTTTGGGAGTAGTGGTTTCATTAAACAAATAGCAATTAGTGAATAGCTGTTCGTTAAACTTAAATAGTACGAAAACCTATCGTACTATTTATTTAAGAAATAGTAATAACTTTTTTTTTCAAATAGTAGTACATTTTTTATAAGTTGTAATCAATTTTTTTAAAATTATGTACCTAAATGTTGAAGAAAACTAATTCAGAACCAGCTTAGAAAAATTTTTGATTTGAAAAATGTATATTGTTTAATAAAATACTAAAAAG